AAAGAGAGAGACTGGTGTTCTGAGAGCAGATGTGAATGAGGTCAATTAACGCGCTTGAATTTTTCATGAAGTAACTGACCTTCAAGGTTTTATGGATTGTAGTTACTTAAAGGGCATTGGTCTGCTCTGTTTGGCACATCAAAAGCTTTTTTTGGTTGGTTTTCTCCTTGGAAGATGAGTTGGTGTCACTTGGGGAAAAGTGCAGGGTAAGCAGAAGGAGCACTCTCTTCCCTCCATTAAAAAGTACAAAGATATTCTTCCTGCGTTTGCCTCACAAAGACTTTTTTTTAGATAGGCCCTGCATCAATGCTATTTTTAGTACAAGCAGGTGGTCCAAATGAGTGTTACTCAGAGCCAGTGGACGGCTGGAGGACAAGGTCATGCCTGTGCAGCAAAACTGCTGTTTCATAACGAGCCACAGGAGAGTGTCATTCAGTAATCAATTACCTGTAAAAGCTGTGAGGCCTTTGGCATTGTTGAGGCTGCCTTGTCATGCCCCTATGGTAAATATTTTTATATAATGGTCGATATCTGTGTACTCCTGAAGCATAAAATAGTTTATAGTGACTTATTTGCCCCAGGGTATGATGGTCAAGAGAAGTATCTCAACGAACAGTATTTGAATATTAAATTGTCTAAAAAATACAGTCAAAGGCATTGCCTTATTGCCGCCTTTGTTTTGCTGTTATCTTTAGAACTTCTCGCAGGGTTTGATGTCTCAGTACAATACAAGGTTCTTTCGAAAAAGCTGTTTTTCATGTGATGAAAGAGCACAACATTAAGGTCGTAAAAAACACACTGAGTCTGGTGGTCATTTAACTGGGTACCTCTGGGTATTGCTGCAGTGGAGTCAGTATGTTTCCATGTAATTTCTAATTTGCCTTCTTCCTTGTATTGCCATGTTTTGTTCTGTTTTGAGAACAGTCTCCATTTCCATCGTTCCAATCTTTGTGTTTTTTGCAGCTCCGTTAATGTGCTCTTCTTAGGGAGTCATGTCTGTAAGTGTTGTTTCCATCTGCAGCGTAATCTTGCCATTGGGAACATACATCTCAGAGCTGTAGTAGCAGTGTCTGTGGAGATCAACAGTTGTTGTTTCTTTCCTGTAGTGTTTGCATGGATGCAGGCCAGAACACGACCTGTCCTGTTTTGCCTCCTTTCCCTTCCTAGACAATGCAACCTCAGTGCCATAGTGTCTGGATTACTCCATTCTCTACTCCACCAGAGTGGTAGTAGGAGTCATTTTATGCTGTTAAGATTTTAGCTCAAAATGGTCAAAACCCAAAGAAAGTATTTCTGGTGCCAAGAGTGCTGGGCCAGTTGTGTTATGTGTTAAATATATAAAAATGCTTCCAAGGTGGACAGTTGGATTTGTAAGGGAGAAGCTTTTCAGGGGGTTCTAAGGAGAGCAAATCACTTCCAAACAAATAAGGGGTCATTTATGTGTAGGTGAAGACGATTAAATTGGGGGTTGTGCATTCTAAAGAAAGCAATTCAGAGTTATTAGCCACTTCTGTGTACAAAGAAATTAGCTCCGCTTTCCCTGCTCAGCTGTCTGCTGTTTTTTTACTTCTCTACATTTTGTGAGTGAGGTATCTAGATTTTGACCCATTTACCTGCAAGTAATCTTTCACAGGAGCAGGGGAAAAAAAAAAAAAAAGGAACAGTGAGCTGTGTTTGTGCTCAGGGGAGTAATTTATGTGCTTGTGCCAGCTTGAGTGATGTGGCTTACACTACCTCTACTTTGTACGGAGAATGCTGCTGAAAGGAAGTCAGTATTATATCGTCTAGTGATAAATCCTTTAATCTTTACTACTGACTGTCCTGCAGATACTTTAGTAAGAGAACTGGTAGTTGTGACTACCAGTCAACATCTCCTTCAGTCCCTCTGTATGCAAGGGAGTGCTGCTGTTGCAGGCAGGGCTGAATGCTGGGCCACATGACAGAGGGCAAATTGCAGAGCTTTCTGTATGTGATGTTCTTCCTCAGGGTGTTGTGGTTGTTTTTACTTGGCTTGACTTTCATGAACAGCTCTCTAACAGGGAGTAGAGAACTGCCTTAGCATGTCTTTTCTCAAATTATCAACCACCTAATTTGCTATAAAGCTATGAAGTTTCTTCTTTGAGTTCCCGAAAACTGGTGGTGCTTAAGACTTGGGGCAGTGCTCGAGCACATCCTATAAGCAGCCTGAAGATCTTTATATGAAGGGTGTTTCTCAGTGCATCACGCAGGAATACACGCTTATCTCTGTGCCATGTTTGGGGGATACCTTTGGAACACATAGATCACTTCAGTCTTGCTCGTGTCTGTGTCCGTTTTTGCTGTCGTGTGCAGCTGAAATGCCCAAGTGCATAGAGTCTGAGGACCTCCATCATTTTGGTGGTCAGAGAATAGCAGGAGGTTTCAGTTCTCTCTCTGCCATGCCTACTTGACTAACATATACCAGCTGACTGAAAAAGAGCAGAGTGGGTGAAGTGGGGGGTTGTTTGATGCTGGTTGGGGTTTGAGGGTTGATAGTTGGGGGTTTTTTTGATTGGTTTGGGTTTTAGGAGCAAGATACCAGTCGTTTGAAATTGGCTATAGGTGAAACTATGCTTTGTACAAGCACACTGTGGTGATTCTGCTGGAGATCCTGATGGTTGGCAGAAGACAAGTTTTGCTTCTAGTTTTGTGTTGGCAAACTTACAGCAAGTGGGTACAAATATCTGACTGTCGTGCTTTTCCTTGGCACGTGTGCCTTCTTGTAAATGGTATTCTTTGGGATTAGATTGGTTATTTCTAGGCAAATCTTTAATACCTATCTGCAAGGAAACAGTATTGAGAGGTGGATGACTTGGATAGGTAGCTCCCATTAAACTTTTCATACCCAGTGACTTGCTACACTTGTAGAAAAATCTCAGAATTTAGAAGCACTGTCAGTGGAAATAATTTCATATGACAGTCTCCACAAAACTGAGTGAAATTTGATTTATTTGTGAAATGAGATGAAAGAATTATATATAATAAACTGGAATTAATACATTATGTGTTCAAATAAGTTCTCTGGTTTTGGTGTTTGGAATGTTTGATGTTTTTGTGTTTTGATTTTATAGGTTGAAGACTTTGGGAGACAAATCAAGAGAAGCAAAAAAAAGCAGGCAGAGGTACTTTTGAGTGTCTTAATGTATAGCATTATCTGGGATGCTCTTGTTAAAGAAAAGCTTGAAGGTGGCTCATATATGAGCCGGTTACAGGAACATTTGCGTATAATTTTACAGAAGGCTCTTTTGACAACAGAAAAACTTAACCCTAATGTTGAGTAAATACTTAGAGTGATAGAACCTTCACTGATAGACCTAATAATTTCAGATGCCCATCAACCCATTTATAAATGACTAATTGTAGTACTTCATGCTGTATCTCCAGTTGTAGTACCCTGAAATGTAATTGGTTACAGTCGGTATGAATCTTGTACTAAAATAGTTCAGGAATAAGAATATGAGCCTTTTTATTGTAGAAAATATATGTGTAATGGAATACATATCTGTTTCAAGAAGACTGAAGAACTTGGTGGGGGTTTTTTTAATCCTTTCTATTTTAATGTATTGTTCATTCTTTCAACCTGTGTAAACTATAGGGAGAGACTACTTAACACCTGTAAATGATGCCTGTAAATGTTGCTTCTTCAAATAAGCTCAGATACGCTGTGGTGTAAAGTGTGTTTTTACTAAAACACAATATGTAGACACAAATGAGTTTTAAAACAATCCCTAAAAGGAGAATAAGGCACCTGAAATAACCTGTATTAAGTTCTGAAGTGTGATGCTTTGGGTGTGAAGGTGTTTTAACAGGTGACTGGTTGTATTGACAAGACACAAACTAAACTGAGAATGGAGGGAGGCTTGAATAAAAATATTTTAGGCAACTGCCTTCTCTGCATGTTTTCAGTCCATAATATTTTGTTAGATCTGGTGCACTGTAAGTAGCCATCACTGTTTGAGGAAAAGCACTGGCCAAACCAGTTGGATCATCACAAGCAAGGGAATGCCAGGTTGGCTTGTGCTTTTCTGATGAAGTTCTGCGGCAAACAGCTTAGCTTGGTGGTAAGCATGGCTGGGAGTTTGTGGGGCAGCAGCAGAGGAGAGGCCAGCAAGGGTGGTGCTAGTGAGGAGGTTACACTAGGAGGTCTCTTCCCACTTCATAGTTTTTATTATTTTTTCCTTGGTTTAAGTGGGAAAAAAAGTTTCGTTTATGGTGTTTTTGTTTAGTTGGATTTTTTGGCATTCAAATTGTTTGAATGACAGTGCAAAAAGCTTGTTCTGATAATCTTCCAAGAGACACATCTTGGATGACACAGAGATCTTCACATAATAAATACATCCTTAAAAGTGTTGCGTTGTTCATTTTCTTTGACTTCTGATAAGTTGCCTGTATATTTCAAGTTCACATTCAATAGAGGGTTGTTAGAGCATCAAACTGGCAAAGGTTTTTTAGCTTGGTATTTCTTTTTGGTGTAGAATGTATTAATTGCAGTATCTTTGAAAGACTTAAAGAACTTGTGTGCTAGTGTTATTTTTGAAATGTTTGTGCACTGTTAAGTTAAAACAATGTTTATACTGCATGTTTAACTGTGTTAAGAAGTTATTTTAAAAAATTTTTTTAATGGATATAGTCAAAAGGAGGTAAGAATGGTCTACTATGAAATAACAGGGGGAAAAAAAAAGCCCACAACCCTAGCTTTGGAATAGTCTTACAAAGGTACATAGTGTAATGCATTTTCGTCTGGAATTGACAAAATATTTGTGAAAGTCAACAATAGGGAATACTTCTGTGCTCAGCATGTCGGTCAAGCACAGATATGTGTACACACTTTTAATAACAGCTTTCTGTTTGTTAACAGCATTTCTATATTTATGATTTGTTTTATAGAACTGTTCAATGTTTGCCAGAATTTTCTGCTGGACTGGAATTATTGAGCAGGTATGACCCTCAATTGCTTGGATAGTGTCTGCTTCCTATCATTTCAGAATTAATAAATTTATTATTTTAAGAAAATGAAAAGAAACCTAAGATGTCACTAGCAGATTTTTTTTTATGTTCTGCAGTTAGTAGAGTGGAAGTGGTTACCAAATGCTAAATACGTTTAAAGCTTGCGCAATCCTGAAGTGCTCTCATGTTAATCAAACAAAAGTTCTGGAGGAAAAGCAGCATTTGAAAGATGACTTTAGTTTGTGGTCTAATGCACAGGGGTGAAGGAGACCAGGACTGAGGCCCAGCCTGTGGTTTTAATTGGGTGATTTGTAACTTTTACATGTTTGGTATGATTTCATTCTGTTAGAGGCAGTGTGCCTGCTGTTGCCGTGAAGAGAAAGTGCATTCCGTATGTATTGCATCACACTTTTTCTGAGTAACAGAAACTCTCTGCATTATAAGCTACCTTTGTATTTTTATCTTAAAAAAAAAAAATATCATTTTCGTCTTTTTTGGGGGGCAGATGTGTTGCAATTACAATCTTGTTAATTTTTGTCATTTTCTTAATGAAATTGGCTTCCAGATAGTGCTTAAGGCTTTTATGTGTATAGTAAATATTGCTGAGTCAGTTTTTCACTGTGAGGGTGACAGAGCCCTGGCACAGGCTGCCCAGGGAGGGGGTGGAGTCTCCTGCTCTGGAGACTTTCAAGCCCCGCCTGGATGTGTTCCTGTGCGATTTACTGTAGGTGATCCTGCTCTGGCAGGGGGGCTGGACTAGATGGTCTTTTGAGATCATCCCTTCCAACCCCTGACATTCTGTGATTCTGTGAATTTAGCTCTTAATGTAAGCTAGCAAGTTAACAAAATTTTTCTTTTTCTTTAAAAGAAACTGTTTCCTACTGTATATTTGTCTTGGTAAAACAGTAAATCCCAGAAAGAACTGTGCAGCTTTTAAAACTGTTTTCTGCTAGTTCCTGTGAAAAAGCACAGTGGCATCTGTGAAATCCTTGTCCATTTTCGGGGAACACAGTAAGAATAGTAATTTATTTTTCTTCTCTTCAGATATGAAGATGCTTGGGCTGCCCTTCACAAAGGAGCCAAAGATTGTGCAAAAGCTGGAGAGGTAAGGAAAAATGACAGCACCACACTTTGAAATATTTTAAAATGTGTAAATAGTTTCAAACTAAATTTTTTAGCACCAGTGTACTGGGTTACCCTGACTACTAGGTAAGGACCCCCAGAGTCTTGTTCACTCTTCCACCAGTGGGACAGAGAGAACAGGAAGAACAAAAACGAGGAAGCTCATGGTTCTAGATAAAGTCAGTTTAATAATTGAAGGACAGAGGTAAAACAAGTGGTGCAAAAGCGGTCACTCGCAACCTCCCACAACAGATCAATGCCCAGGCAGTCTCAGAGCAATGGTTGCCTTGGAAGACCAAACCCTTAGTTTTTGTTGCTGAGCATGATGTAGTGTGTTATGAAACATCCCTTTGGCCAAAGGTCGGCTGTTCCATCTGCGTCCCCTCCCAGCTTCTTGCCCACCTGCATCCTACTTGCTGAAAGGGAAGCAGGGATGGTTGGAGAAGAAAGCCTTGACCTTGGACAGGCATTGTTCAGCAATATCCAAAACACGCTGCATTATCAACACTGCTGGGGTTAGAAGTCCAAGATCCAGTACTGTATGGGCTGCTATGAAGAAAATTGACTTCATCCCAGCTGGATCCAGTATGATGAAAAAATAGTGCTAGATATCACTACTTGGGAAAAACTCCAAGTTGCGTTGTTTTTTACTGGGTTTTAAGGTGATGTTTGAAAGGCAGCTGGTGGAATGGATCAGAATATCCAGTTTATCTTGTTTCTCATAGCTCTTCCAGATTTGATGCTACTTGGCCTACAATTTGCATTCTTAAGGTACTAAATAGAGGCATTTGAAAAAAATAGGAATTCTCTGTGGTTGTTTCTCACAAGGTATCTGAAGAATTATCTGAAATTCATTCTGCAGTTTACTTTCTGATGTTTCAACTACTGTAGCAAACATCAAGTGTGAGAATTTTCTACTGCTTTTATAGTACTTTTCAACTGATACATTGACACCCAGGATCTCTTGTCTTCTGACTTTTGTACAGGTAGCTGCAATCTCTGCTTGCATTTAAGCGAAAAAATATTAATCATATCAGCTTATTGTTGGGTTGTGGGTTTTTTGTAGGATAGGGTAGGTTAGAGAAGAACATTGAAAAGTACAGCTTTGTCAGAGCGTGACAAGAAGGTGGTGGTAAAAATAAGACATACCCAGAAGTTCAGTGATCAGTGTTTGCGCTCGTCTGCCATTATTTGAAATGTTTTAAGTTAGCTGGGAATACTATTTTGAAACTGCTTGAGACATCTTAATGTTGCCAGTAACCGGCAATGTAACGTAATGCAGACGTTAAATGATGGGATGCAATCTAGAAAATAACAAAATGTGTTACTGCTGTAGCTCTTCAAAAGCAGTGGGAGGCCTGGGAAAATATGGAATAGGTTTGGGATTGAGACATGCTGGTGCCGAGTATCAGAGTAGGGCTGTTGCACCGTTTGCTGCCCTCTCCTAGTGGGCAGGGAATGGTAAGATTTGATTTGTCTCACTGGGAAGATCCAGAAAGCATCTGCGCTTTCTCTTAATTTTGTTCAGTTTTCCTGCCCTGGAAGTAAAGTGACAAGTTGGGCTGTCTATTTCTGGAAAGAAGGGCAAGAAAGAAAACTTCCAGTAAGTGCTTACTAGTGCATTGCTGTGCTGTTCTGGAGGTCTGCACCAGATTTTCCATTTCAAATCGTGTTTAAGGAGCAGACCCAGTGTGAGCTGGGTGGCCACAATGCAGAGCAGGTCTGAGCTGTGGGTTTCTCTGGCGTGGAGGAAACCTTAGTTTTTTGGCTGGCTGCACCCTCCCTGACTCTTTTAGTTTCCTTAGGAATCATCTCTGTATCTTCTTTGATGAATAAAAACTTGCTGCTTAATGTATTTTGAAGAGATGTGTTTAGGGTAAGAAAGATACTATCTTATGTTGTAATTTCTCTTGCCTAATAGCATGGCCCACCTTTTCCACCCATTCCAGTTAAAACCTTCCATTGTTGGAGATGTTCTCTGACAGCTTTGTATGCTTTACTGCTAATGATTTTTTTTTTTGCTGTGAAGTTCTCTTATGTAACTTAAAATTTTGTAATATATGCAAAAGTTTGGTTTTAGAACTATTATTTTTAAAGCAAACAAAGTTTCATATAAATATATAAAACCAGTGTAGCTTTAATCTTGCATATTAAAATGAAAAAATTCCAAAAAGACTTTGCAGTTTTGCACAAAATTCAGATGTTTGCTTTTGGGAGACTCCAAAACGTGTATTGCTTGTGGCCTTTCGGCTGGTCAGTTGTTGTGGTTTTTTTTGTTTGTGGTGATGGTGTTTTGTTACTGTTTTTTAAGAAAAGTAGAAAAGGTAGGGTTTAGTAAAATAAAAATTGTGTAAGCACACAAGATTGACTCTACGATATCAGAGCTAAAGGTCCACTTTTCCAGTAGCAGACAAACTACTTGTGCTGTCTTATAAATGTTGAATAGAGAAAGGAAATAGAAAATTCTCAAGTTTAAGTTCTGCCTGCACCCTTAACATGTTAAATTATAGATGCTGACTACTAGTTCCATCTACAAAATAGCTGTAAAAATACTGCTTTTAGTTAATTGAGATTTTAGCTGCATTCGGCTTTCTCTGGGCTAAAATGTTTTTGAGATGTTTGTCCCCATCTCCTGGTGTTTAGATCTTTCTAGTTTGCTTTACTGTGTAACTAACAGAAATCCAATACCTCATTCTCAAAAATAGCCTTGGCTTCAGTTAAATAAGGATGTTGGTCTTCTGAAATGTTTCATTACTTACTGGGCTCTAGAGTAAGTTTTCCAGCTTTCTAAGTTTTCAAACCTTGTCTGGTTAAATGGGATGACTTTTGGCAGGGATGAGTAGCTGGAGGGATTTGGAAGTGGGAGAAGTTTTTCTTCTAAAAGAACCTGTTTGGAACAGATAGAATTTTTTTTTTGAGAACTTCCTTTACCCATTGCTTAGACTTTTTACATTTTTTGCGATTATATTCTGCAAAAACTGAGGAATCCAGAATGCAAATACAGCCACTGCCTGCAGTTGTGTGCAAGAGGAAGAACAGGTCATGGAACCAAGAGCAGGGAAATTACAACTGAATCATCTCAAGTATCATATATAAGGGAAACATTTGTTAGCCCAGATCTCCTGATTGTGCTCTTTTTTGTAGAAACTGACCAATGTAAATACATCTTTTAAGCAGTGTATCTGTAAAATATTTCATATCTTTAGTATATTGTGAAATAATTCTTTATCTTGTTGTGATCTGTGCATTTTCATATCAATATTTCATACTATTCCATATTTAGTCGAGAAGTACGCAACTGACAGTGCTGTAAGCTTGCTGGGCTGACTTTATGCTTGCAGATGTGGGAATTCTAAAAGTTAGTCAAGATGCTTGTAAATAGGTTCTTAAATTTGCAAGTAAAGTAAAGAACTTGTTTGTTTCAGCTGGTGGATAGTGAAGTTGTGATGCTTTCTGCACACTGGGAGAAGAAAAGGAACAGTCTGGTGGAACTGCAGGATCAGCTCCAACAAATACCTGGTTTTTTAGCAGATCTGGAATGTGTCACGGCAAGCCTAGGTAAGGTTTTATAAACATAAGCATTCAAGTCAGTGCAGAGGATTAGTCTTCGGCTCCTGTGAACTTTGCGATTATAAAATATAATTTTGTTTCCCAAACACATCCTTTCTATTATAAAAAAATACTTCTTAAACTAGATTTGTGCAACAGCAAAATTGTCTCTCCTAGCAGTTAAAATACTGTATGCATCATTATTTAGGGAGAAGGGAAATTGTATGGCAATACCTTTGTGTGAACAGCTGAAAACTATAATTCCTGAAGTCTTTTTAAATCCTTAAAAATCTGTAAATGTGAACACTTGTGTATGTAGCTGCTTCTGTAATTTTATTTGCTTTAAATGATTGTTTGGTTGGAGGGAGGAGCAAGAAATTTACCTGACTTGGGATGCTTTTAAGGCAGAAATTTTCTGTTCAGAGTAATTTTTGTTTCCAAAGCTAGCTTCCATAGTTTCAGTCAGTGTACAAGGTTAAGATATTGTGAAGTGATACCCACCTGAGTAGCAGCAATGCAACATATTAAAGTTACCAAATACCTCATGTTTGCTACATGAGTTTGAAATTTTAGAATTTCACCAAATGTTAACCTGTTTAATTAAAAATATTTTAGTGTGCTGCTACTGGAAACTTCTCATACCAAAACTTGATCCATGAAATGAGGGAAATAGGTTCTGGCCTCTTAGTCTCTGAAAAGCTCTAGTGTTCCTGAGTCTTGAAACAGGGTCGCGGCATTTGACAAGGAGCAAACTTTTCTGTCAACAGCAGGCCTCTTGCTGCTTCCATGAAAATCTGTTCCAGTTGCATCAAATTAAAGTTTTGAAAAACTGCTCTCTGCCTGGGTTGTCATAGGCAAGTTCCCCAGGGATTCTGCCTGCTCTGTTCCTGCACTAGCTGGAAAGTATGCAGAAATTCATGTAATTGCGGCTTTTGTGGTGGGGGGGGGGGAGGGAGGGTGGGCTGGGTTTGTGTGCTGGCATGCGAGGAAAAGAAAGGTTCTTTTCTGTGTTCAAAGGCTAATTTTTCATTCTTCTGGTCAGTGGATATGCACAAATCGGCTTTTGTTCCTGTGTAGGCTGATAATTTCACAATTGCTTTTTGAACCAAGGAATATATTTCATTTTTTATTACAATTCTTATATCACCTTATTTAGTAGAGCTTTATCGTGTGTGGTAACAATTTAACATTGGCTTATTGAAAAGCTCAATTACTTTCTAAGGAAATACCAATTCAAGTAATGATTTATTTAAACACCAATTTTAATATTGACATGCACAAAATGATGCAGTCGACTGGCAGCCTGAAGATAAGCAATATAATAAAACCTGGTGGAATTGTCTTTTAGAGTTCGTAACTGCAAAAGCTGTAAATCCTGATGAGTTGGGGTTACCTTCTTGTTCCTAATATTGCAGTTTTATGAACCAGAAGTAATCTCACCCTGATTGTAGAATTACTTGGAGAAGGCTTACTATCTCTGGAATGTTTTTGATGGTATACAAGCAGGATTTGATTGCTTATCTTGAACCTACTGTATACTCTTAAAGAGCTGCATAAATGGTTTGTAATGCAGAAATCTACAATATGCATTCCACTAGAAGACTCTAGGTTTTAGTGGTTTCTTTTTGATTTGAAAGTTATTTTTAAAGTTAGGAGAGCTATAAAAACTTGTAAATCACTAATGAATTTCAGTTGGGAAAATGTTTTTTAAAATCTATTGTTATTAAAACAATTTTTCTAACTGTTTAAAAAATAGTGATACTTCGCTTTTGGGAATTTTGTTGCTTAAGTTGAAGCAGTGTTCACCTTTTACTGAGAAAATCAGGGAAAATATTGTGAAGATGTATTTAACACCAGGGAATTTGAATACTACAGTGTCATGATACTGATGTTCCATGGGGAGGTTTTGTCTTTCATAGTCTCCGAGGCAGAATGCTGCAGAAGAGAGGATTGTTGGGGAAAGTAGAGGCATATAGGTACAAAAGGCATATACTTGGGTGGTGTAAACTTAGAAGTACCTGTGGCTTGAATACAGAAGGAAAAATATCCTGGTATAATTGCTGTGTAGTTTCAGCAAAGAAGCTACTTTAGCTTTATGTGAGTGGTACAATATGAGCTCAATTTAGTGTCTTTTCTCTAAAAATAAATCCAAATTGTGTGCTAATAGAGCTGTAATTATGTAAAGAATTTTTTTCCTAATGTTGCACTTGAATTGAGCACTTCATGTATTTCACTGCTTGTTTGTATTTCACTGCTTGTTTTGAGCTTAGTAATCTTGTGACTCTGTGTAACCTAGAGATAGGGAGAAATTCTTTGTAATTATTTCCGTCCTTTCTGTCTTCTGCCTTTTTGATTCTTGATAATGAAATGAATGAACTTTGTAGGAATTTTTTTTTCTTAGTCCTTGATGGCACCTGGGATGGTACAGGAAGGCTACATTTAAAATGAGAAATTGAAAACTAATATTTTTCGATATACAGCTGTCATTTTTGTACTACTGCAGAACTACAGGTTACACAGCTTTCAGTGAAAAGAAATTTTGTGTGATAAATTTAAATTAGCTTAACTTTAGAAATACAATGTTTTCAGGAAGAAAACTGGATTTTGTGATTCTTGAGTTTAAGATACATACTTCAATATTCGAGTAGTGGCCGAAGAGTGTACACTGAAAGATAATTCAATCTAGTGTTATCTGATCAAACATTAACATAATTTAAAAAATTAAAACTAAGAAGTAAAACTTGTGATACTGTAAGAAATACAGATCAAGCTAATATAATTTGAATGATGTCACCTGAACAACAAGTTGGTTTTTTTTTTAATCTGTCTAATGAAAAAATATTATTTCTCCCAAGTGTGGTATATTACTGTACAGGAAAATTCTAATCTACAGATTAAGATCTAAAGGCACAATGGATTTTTTTTTTCCAGCCTCCTTAAAAATATTAAGAGGAGGAGATCCTTTTTCTCCATAGTACTGCTGTTTCAGAGTGAGGTGGTGATTGCTGCCTGACCACTTGGCTGTAGGATTTTTTTTAAGAAGAACTGGAAAAATAGCCTTGCAGGTATCCTTTAGAACATTAGCTGGCTTTCTGGAGCAGATTCAATCCAAATTGATTAAAAAAGTAACTTTGGAACTTCCTTTTGATGCACGGTGTGTATATTCTCACTTGGGTGAGAGAGATGTTAATTCAGAACTGTAGCTCATGCTGCTGCTACAGAGCTAGTCTTCAGCTTTTTTTGTTGTTGTTGTGAAAAGCAAGTTCTCGTTTTCTTGAGGAAAAATAAGTCTGAAAGTGCTGCTGCTACAGAGCTAGTCTTCAGCGCTTTTTTTTGTTGTTGTTGTTGTTGTGAAAAGCAAGTAAACTCTCGTTTTCTTGAGGAAAAATAAGTCTGAA